TGTGTGCACTGCTACTTTTTCGATCTTGATCAATGGCAAACCTTCAGGGTACTTTTCTTCCACCCGTGGACTACGTCAAGGTGACCCGCTCTCTCCCCTTCCTTTTGCTTTGTGCTCAGAAGGTTTTACTGCTATGATTAAGGAAATGGTTGCTCGTCATGAGCTACAAGGCGTCCGTGTTGCACCTTCTTGTCCTTCGATTTCTCATCTTCTCTTTGCGGACGATTCTTTTTTATTCCTTCGTGCTTCTCAAAGGGATGCAGATAATCTTATGAGGTTGCTTCATGAATATGAAGGTATCAGTGGCCAACATCTCAATTTAGTTAAGTCTGCAGCTTTCTTCAGTCCAAATATGGATTCACCCTCTCAAAGTTTGTTGGGTTCGGTTTTGGGAGTGGGGTCAATTGGATTGCTAGATCGTTACTTGGGTCTTCCTTCTTTGGTTCATAAATCTAAGAAGGAGACTTTCCGTTTTGTCGAAGAGAAATTGATGACAGTGTTACAGGGTTGGAAAATCCGTTCCCTCTCTATCGCTGCAAGGGAAGTTCTTCTCAAATCAGTGGCAGCAGCATTACCAATTTACACTATGTCATGCTTCTGGCTTCCAAAGGACTTAATTCGTCGTTTGAACTCGCACATGGCTCGTTTTTGGTGGGGGGCGACGGCAGGGCAGAGGCGCATACATTGGATTGCTTGGAAATCCCTTTGTAACAGCAAGCACGAAGGAGGGTTGGGATTCCGAGACTTTGGCTGTTTTAATCAAGCACTACTTGCTAAAGTGGCATGGCGTATCCTCGTGGAACCATCCTCTCTGCTGTCTCGATTTCTTCGCGGGAAATACTATGCTTCTTCTGCGAATTTCTTGGAGGCACAATTAGGTTCAAACCCTTCATGGGGTTGGCGTAGCATTCTACATGGTCGAGATCTTCTTTCCAAAGGGCTCTGTTGGCAAGTTGGGACTGGTCTTTCGATCCGGGCATTTGAAGATGCTTGGTTACCTACCTCTCCTCCTTCTGTGCCTACTCGTCGCGATGGTGCGCCTTCTTCTTCGCCTTATGTCTAAGCTTTCATTGATCCGGGCACCCGTTCTTGGAATCAAGCAGTTTTGGGATTGTTCTTCTCTCCGGAAAGCATTAAGGTAATTACTTCTATTCCATTGCCGAAAATCCTTGTTCCTGACAAGCTTGCGTGGCACTATGATCCTACTGGATTGTTCCAGGTAAAATCCGCCTATCATCTGGCTTACTGGTTAAATCGTGTTTAGGAGGGTCAAGCTAGGGTACAACAGGTTGATCATGATATGTGGATTTGGCTATGGAATTTAAAGATTCCACCAAAGTTAATTTTCTTTATTTGGCAGTGTTTGAATCGAATTCTGCCAACGAGAGAAGCTCTTCTTGCTAGAGGGCTTGATATTTTACCGGTATGTCTGGTTTGTGGCAGAAAGGTTGAATCATTGGAACATTTATTTTGTAACTGTTCTTTTGCTCGCCGATTATGGAGATTGGTGGGATTTGGTGGTCATTTAGGGTCATGGGATAAAAGATCTTTTGTAGGGATGGTAAGATCAGAACTCTTTCAGAAGGACAGAGACCATAGTTGTCCTTATTTTGTTATGCTGGTGGTTACCATTTTTTTGGAGAATTTGGAAGAATAGATGTGCTGCACTGTTTGAACACCAACAAGTTCGTGTTGAGCAGCGGGTTGCAGAATGGAGACATCAAGCTCGTGAAATAGATGTGGCTATGCTGGTCTCGTCCACTAATAATTCAACTGGTCCACTTGCTTCTTCTCCTCTTCGCAATCTTCCTCAATAGGGAAGCTTCCATCACTTTGCTTCTTTTGACGGCGCAACCAGTAAGGAAATCAAGGGAGCTGCTGCTTTTGTTATTGGGGAAGGCCAATCTAATCCAGTTTCGGCTACTGCAACAATCTATCATGGTATTAATGACCCTCATGTTTTGGAAACTTTGGCACTAAGGGACTGCATTCAGGAATGTATCCACAAGAATCTTCCTTCTGTGCTGATCACGGGTGATGCAAAGCTAATCATCGACAAATGTTTGGCTCGAGACTTTGATGACGCAAAGGTGGGTGCAATTCTAAGGGAGATAGCGTCGTTAATGGTTAATGGTGGATGTAACTTTGTCTTGCGTTTTGTGAGACGGGATCGTAACAGGGAGACTCATTTAGTGGCCAGGAAATCCCTGATTTTGTCACCTCGATTTTTAGCGAGGTTTGACTTTGTGTCTTGGCTTTGTAGTTTGTAACAACTCTGTTTTGATCTTATCTTTCCTCTCCTTGAGAGTGATTGAATGAAAAAAAAACCTTTAGGGGTCGTTTGGATGAGGTTTTTACGTGGGTTATTTGTGGGTTATTTTGGCTTAAATAATTCATAATGAGTTATTTGAACCGAAATAACTTGTTTGGCTCCACAAAGAGAAAACGAGTTAATTTGGGGTCGAGTTATTTCAGAATAACGCAAAATGGGTTATTTAGAATAACACCCCTACCCCCTGTTATTTCTAAATACCGCGTTAATAACTTTTCCATCACAATTCTGCCCCCTTCTCTCCTCTCTCTCCATTGTTTCTCTTTCTTTTTTCACAGACGACGCCATCGTCTTTCTTCTCCCCCTTTGCTCCTCTCAACTTCCAGCTTCCATCGGTCATCTCCATCTGGGCAAGAATAATGAAATTGAGAATTTTAGGGTTTCAAGCATATACGAAAGGGGGGGTTTCCATTTGGCGATGCATGCGCAGGTTGGGGGAGAAGAGAAGATACTTCGGGCAAGAATTCGTCGCCGTCGTGTCTCCCGCAGCTGCTGGGAGCTCCAGTCCTGAAACTGGCGACGGATCTGGATCTATCTCCCTTTTCTTGTTCTCATACCGTTTTTTTAGTCAGCTATCATCTGGCTTTCTTCTTCTCGTTCTCTCCAGCTTTATTCGGTAGATAGGGAAAGGGAATCATAGAGGGAGAGAGGGAAATCATCATCAATTGAAGATTCCTGTTTTTCCTGAAAGGATACGAAGAAGAAGGGGAAGTATGATTGGTGAAAAGAATGTATATGGGAGAATATCAATGGTGAAAAGGATACGAAGAAGGGGATTTATTCCGTTTGATTCATGCTCTGTTTTCTCAATTAGTATGCAATTGGGAACTTGGGATGAATGTTTTGGGCAAAGAGAGGGGTTGGTGCAAACTTGGGTTGTATGTATTAAGGGCATAGTGGTATTTTCATCCTTTTGTTGTAGAATACCACATATCAAATAACTCTTCATCCAAACGAGTTATTTAAAATCAATTAACACATATAACACACAAATACCACAATCCCAAATAATGAGTTATTTGTGACCAAATACCACACCTCATAAAAAAACCCATCCAAACGACCCCTTAATTTGTTGACGATGGATGTAGCCTCATGAAACCAACAACTAACTCATGGATCTGATCCCAAAGGTAGTGATTGACCAGTTTTTATTAGCAAATCGCAAAAATCATATGGATCGGGCTCAACGGTCCATCCTACTTGAATGGGCCTCTATCCTTTGAAGAATAGTAAACAGCGTAAGAAACTCGGGAGTGAGCCCAATAACAAGCATTAATGATAGTGGCGGTAATGGAGGAGGGTAGGTGAGTGATCCGCCATTAACGCCACTCACTCAACCAGCTTTGCGATTGCGACTGGGCGCAAAGCCCGCCGAGGAGAGGACCAGTTTTTTAAATTCCCTGTGCACCAATTGACCAAACACCATGAGGAGCAGGAGCAACAGCAGCAGCAGCAACGTTACTACTCCTGCACTGCACAAGAGAGGAGTAATTTCGAAATAACCAATTTTCCTGGAAAGAGTCGCCAGAAAGAATACTCTTTTTCTTTTGTGTGTGTGTGTGTGAAGTGGGGAGCTAAATAATAACTTTTGAGAGCCCCAGTTGTATTGCAGTGAAGGCATGTGGGGAAGAAGAGAGGCCAAAGTAGCTACTACTCCTACAACAAGGACGTATGCAGTCCCAGGAAAGCAGAGATTGTCATTAAGGAAAAAGGCAAGTGGGGGGTGGAGGAAAAGGTCAAAATGGGGTAGCTTTATGTTGTTCTAATTTGTATGGCAATGGGGGAAGTCAAAAGTCGATTTTGAAAACTAAGCCAAACAGCCAAAATTAAGTCAGTGTGAAGCCATGGCTGACAGATACACAAAACAAAAGATAGAAAAACAGAGGGAAGGGAAGAGATTCGATTGGGAGACAGGAAGGAAAAGCGAGTGGAGTCAGCTCAGTTGGCAAAATGGGATAGAGAGCAGAGCAGCAGCGAATTGCTTGGAATGTACGATGAAGCCACTACTGCTACTGCAGTGGCAGTGGGAGTTCCAAAATGAATCTCTCTCGAACCCCAGGCTTAGCTTAAGCTTAGGATTTGATTATTCAGAAATAAATAAGGAGCAGAGCCGACGGAAATCGTTTTGTCGTTTTATTGTCTTAGATTTGAACGTAACATTAATTTAATCACTAACGTTCAAGAGCTGTGCTTGTCCGCCGCTGGGGTAGAGTGAAATCCCAGTTGGCTACTTTGGGGAATTTGACCAGCTAGTGCAGCTCTGTAGCTACTACTATTATTTTGTCCCCTGAGTTTGTATGTACTGTACTGTAGATTAAAAATTGGTATTGATGATGGGGGAAAAACGGGAACAGAGAGAGAGATGCAGCAGGAAAGGAAGAGTAGATTACAAGGAGAGTTAGGGCAGGTGCATCAGTAGACAGTAGCGTAACGCTAACTCATCTAATTATCATCATCATTAGCCAGGCTCTTACTTTTTCTTCATTGTCTGTTGGGTCCTAAAACCAGATCTATCATGTGTTCCTGTGCTGTGCATATATCTTCTTCAAAACGCTCTCTCTCTCTCTCTCTCTCTCTCTCTCTCTCTCTGTCCTCCTTTTCTTTCCTTCTTGTTATGCACATTCTACTTTACTCTTCTTTTCATCTCTCTCCTTTCCTTCTTCCTCCGCATCCATCGCCACTCCCCCACTACACTACCAGTACCAGACATGCGCCATTATGATCTCCTCCGCCTCGTTGCTCAACATCATTAATTGCTCCCTTCCTCCTTTCCAGCCTTCCCCTCCTTTCCCTTTCTTTTTTAATCTCCCTCCCTCCTATTCATAATTCATTCATGCCGATGAGAAAAAGAATTCCCACCAAATTCTCAGTCATTCCCTCTCCTTCTCTCTTCCATAACTCCTCTCTTCAATCCCTCCCTGCCTCCCTCCCTCTACTTTACCGGCGAACCTCGCTCCCTCTCTGGCCTCTCACTTCCCCCCTCTCCTTTTAACGGCTGCTACTTTTCTCAACCTAGGGTGTAAAACCGGTGGATAGATCTTGTTGAGTTCTTTCTCCTCTCTTTTGTCTGTTAGAGCTCAGCCAAATCTCCGTCCTTTCTTCTTCTTCTTCTTTCTTCTCTACTTTGTCCTCTTCTCTTCTTCCTCTTGTCCCTTTGCCCTTCCGTTTCCCCTGCAGTTACGATTATTACCCTTTGGTGGAAGGAAAGGAAGTACACCAAACGGCAGCTGGAAACAAACACCAGTCGCCTCTGCCAAACTACACCACCAACGTTAACACAGACAGAAAAACAGAGTAAAGTGGCTTTTTTCCCCTTCCACTCAATACCTACCATTTATTAGTGCTGTTACTACTGCTCTCTCCGTTACTCCCAAACCTCCCCCATTCCCCTTCCATGAAGAAGCCCTTGCCCTTCTCTTGACAAGGATCAACAAAGGGAAGGTAACAACACAAGATGCTGCTCTGCCTCTGCATTTCACTGCTACTGCTACTACACTCTGCTCCGGCCGTGCACTCCGCCTACCCGACATTCAACGACGACGTTCTGGGGTTGATCGTCTTCAAAGCCGGCCTGATCGACCCACAATCCAAGCTCGTCTCCTGGAACGAAGACGACGACACTCCCTGCAACTGGCTCGGCGTCAACTGCGACCCTCTGTCCCATCGGGTCACTGGTTTGGCCCTCGACGGCTTCTCCCTCTCCGGCCACGTGGGCCGCGGCCTGCTACGCCTCCAGTTCCTTCAAAGTATCTCCCTTTCCAGCAACAACCTCACCGGCCCGATCAACCCGGACCTGCCGCGGCTCGGCGGGTTGCGATTCGTCGACTTCAGCCACAATAGTCTCTCCGGATCAGTCCCCGACGGCTTCTTCCAACAATGCGGGTCTCTGTCTTACGTTTCCTTCGCTGGGAACCAGCTCACCGGTGAGCTCCCTGTTTCGCTGTCTTCCTGCTTGACATTGACTCAACTCAACTTGTCATCGAATCAGCTCTCCGGCGAGTTCCCATCTGGTCTGTGGAATTTGAGAAGCCTCCAGTCGCTCGATTTGTCTTACAATTACTTCGAGGGAGAGATTCCTCTAGGGGTTTCCAATTTGTACGATCTGAGATCGATTAGTTTGAGTAACAACAGATTCGCCGGTGAGCTTCCCGGTGATATTGGGAGCTGCTCGCTCTTGAGGCTCGTCGATTTCAGCGGCAATTCTCTCTCCGGCAGGGTGCCCGAGACATTGCAGAAGCTTAATTCTTGTACTTACCTTCGATTAGGAAGCAATTCGTTCACTGGGTTTGTTCCGGGTTGGATTGGCGAATTGAGAAGCCTGGAAAGTTTGGATCTTTCCGCGAACAGATTGTCGGGTCGGGTCCCGAACTCAATTGGAAGCCTCGACCAATTAAAGGAGCTGAATCTTTCTACCAACCAGCTCACCGGAGGGCTGCCGGAGTCGATTTCAAACTGCCCCAATCTTGTCAGCCTCGATGTCAGCGGCAATCGGCTCACAGGTAATGTTCCTCAGTGGTTATTTAAGACCGGATCGGCCCTTCAACAGCTCCAAGTATTGGATCTTTCTTCCAATGTCTTCTCCGGCGAGATTCCATCCAACTTAGGCTCTCGTAGCAGCATTTTGGTATTGAATATGTCCAGAAACCAGCTATTCGGTCCAATCCCACCATCCCTAGGAGCTTTGAAAATGGCACAAGAAGTCGATTTGAGCAGCAATCGACTCAGTGGAAGCATTCCTTCTGAAATCGGTGGAGCTACTTCGTTACTTGAACTAAGGCTAAACCACAACTCCCTCACCGGCAACATCCCAGCTGATATCCAGAAATGCTCCCCTCTCACATCTCTGTAAGCTCCAATTCCACCATTTAAACTTGTTTCATTACTTGAACTGAACTTTTAAGGCATTATCCTAATCAAGCTATTCTATTGCTGTTGGTTTCAGGATTTTATCAGAGAACAATTTAACCGGTCAAGTCCCAGCAGCCATGGCGAACCTAAGCAGTCTCCAATTCGTGGACTTGTCATCCAACAACTTCACCGGAAGCTTACCGAAAGACCTCACAAACCTCTCCCACTTGCTCTCCTTCAACGTATCACACAACAGTCTTGAAGGCGAGCTGCCAGTTGGTGGCTTCTTCAACATCATTTCCCCTTCCTCCATCTCCGACAACCCATCACTCTGTGGCGCCGCCGTCAACCGTTCTTGCCCTTCCGTCCACCCTAAACCCATCGTCCTAAACCCTAACTCACCCAACTCCTCCCAATCCCCTTCCGCCGCCGCCTCCAACCTCAGTCACCGGAAAATCGTTCTAAGCATCTCCGCCCTCATCGCAATCGGCGCCGCCGCTTTCATAACCCTCGGCGTCATCGCCGTCACTCTCCTCAACATCCACGTCAGATCCTCCATGTCACGGAACCCTCCAGCTGTCACATTCTCCGCAGCTGACGACTACAGCTGCTCTCCATCCACCGACCCGAACTACGGGAAGCTAGTAATGTTCTCCGGCGACGCCGATTTCGTCGCCGGCGCTCAAGCATTGCTCAACAAGGACTGCGAAATCGGCAGGGGAGGGTTCGGGATCGTTTACAAAACATCGCTTCGCGATGGCCGCTCCGTGGCCATCAAGAAGCTGACCGTTTCGAGCATGACCAAATCGCAGGCCGATTTCGAGCGAGAAGTGAGGAATCTCGGCAAAGCTCGACACTTTAATCTCGTGGCATTGGAAGGTTACTACTGGACTCCATCTCTCCACCTTCTGATCTACGAACACATATCGAGTGGAAACCTGTACAAGCATCTCCACGACGATTCGAATTGCCTGACGTGGAGGCAGAGGTTCGGCATCGTGCTGGGAATGGCGAGAGGGCTGGCGCATTTGCATCAAATGAAGATAATTCATTACAACCTGAAGTCGAGCAACGTGTTGATCGACGAATGCGGCGAGGCGAAAGTGGGCGATTATGGGCTGGCGAGGTTGCTGCCGGCGTTGGATAGGTGTGTTTTGAGCGGCAAGATACAGAGTGCGTTGGGTTACATGGCGCCGGAGTTTGCTTGCAAGACGGTGAAGATAACGGAGAAGTGTGACGTGTATGGGTTTGGTGTGCTGGTGTTGGAAGTGGTGACGGGGAAGCGGCCCGTGGAGTACATGGAGGATGACGTGGTGGTTCTGAGCGAGATGGTGAGGGGAGCGCTGGAAGATGGGAGGGTGGAGGAATGTGTGGATGAGAAGTTGAAAGGGAATTTTCCGGCGGAGGAGGCGATACCGTTGGTGAAGCTCGGGTTGATTTGTGCTTCTCAGGTGCCGTCGAATCGGCCGGATATGGAAGAGGTGATCAACATTTTGGAGCTGATTCAGTGCCCTGCGGATGGAGGGCAGGAGGTGGGTTGAATGAATGGATAGATGGTTTGGTAGATGATGAGCTATTAGTTCTGTCTGGGGAAGATGAATCCGGCATTTCTTAATTTGTTCCTTGGTTTTGCATAGTTTTGAAGTAGAAGAAGAGAGAATACAGCAACAAGAGCATCAAAGTCGACATCTTTTTTGTTTCTAAATTTTGTGGGTATGTATGCTATGGATGTGTCTCATAAAATATGTTGTTATGATTATCATGGTGGCAGAAGGGGTTTTGGAATTGCCGGATTCCTTTTCACCGGTTGGGAAACAGAGCAGGCTCTGAGCTGATACAGTTGTTATGGCAAATTGGCAATGCTACATTTTCTGCTTCTCCTCATCTTCAATTGGCAATTGTAGTTCTCATAAAAAGAACATAACAGCATCATCAATCTAACAGCAACATTGTCACAAACCAATCAAACTCTCAACAACAAGCAGATGATCTGATATTTCACAATTTGACAAGTTTGGGGGCCCAAAAACAGACGAGTATGCTGAGTGAATGTGAGTGAAAGGGAAAGAGTAGAGTTGTGCTGAATGTGAGTGATTGGGAATGAGAAGAAACGACAAAAGCGGTTTTTATTTGCTTCAGTCACACTGCAGTCCAGTCTTGCATCTTTTTCTATTTTATGGTTTGGTTTCTGTTGTCGAGTCAGTCAGCTGTTGTTGGGAATGCATTGCCATTGCCGTTGCTCTGTTCTGTTTGCGCCCTGGGAAGCCAACAACTCCCCTCTTTTACCAATTGTTTACCAACCATGCTTACTCCTTTTGAGTTTTGCCACTCTGTTTTGTTTTTGTGTACTCCTTTTTCCTCATTGGTTGGCTGATTGCAATTTTGCTTTTTATGGTTTTCATATAGCTGACGAGCAACTGAGGACAATTATTTCTACTACCTACCAAATGCGGTTTTGTCAAAGTTAAGTTTGATACTGTAACTTCAACCTGTCCTGGACTCAGGCTTGTCGTTGCAATATAGTATTCCACCAACTAAAAGCTAGCCATTTTGCTTGCTGTATCTGCAAGCAAGTATATCATATCATATGATTGACAATGAATTGGCTCATATATTAAACTTAAATGTGAAGCCTAATCCTCCTTTCTTTTTTCCAGCCACGGGGCAGTGGATTTCATTCAATGATCAATTCACCCCAATGGAACACACAAGCAAGCTGAAGCATCTGCTCCCCGAGGCTCATGGCAGCTAGCTATTAGAGAAGCAAACATTATGACTTGATTTTATATATCTCTAATCTTCTTTCTTCAATGAGTTAGGGTACAGGGGATGTATCTTATATGACTTTTCAAATCCTTTTAAATATGATACTAGTTATAACACTATTGTAGCAATACACATTATTTTAAGTGAGAAATTTTTTCGATTAATGCATCAATTCGCAATTTATATAGTGAATAAACTATAACAATGAACACATAGCTATAAGTAACCCTGAACATAAATACATACAACTAATACAATTATCTGATAGTCAATAGACATATCCAACGAACAAGAATATATGTCAATGGTAATGGCGTTAATGAGTTGTTGTGTTTGTGTGAATTGACATAGACTCCCAGCAATTATTATAGGCTAAAAATGACCATCCTTACAAATATATGTGAATAATATTGTGCTTTTTTTATTAATATAAAAAGGAGGAACGTTTGACCCTTGGGAGATTATTCAAAGTATGACGTATGTACAATATATATTAGATACATGGTTAATTACTTAACCGATTAATTTGGTTTTATTGATTAGAAGATTCTGAAACCAAACCAAACAATTTAAACCAAGCAAGCTAAAAAATTTAACCAAAGCAAACCAACTATCCAAAATAACTAAACCGAATTGTCCAAATACTACTGATTAAAACGGTTACCACGGTAACCACACCGTTTGAACACCCCTAATACCAAGTGCAGTATATGAAGTTTAAACAACATGGTTGAAACTAAGGTGTTGTTTGCTAATGGAATTTGGTATTCAAATACCAACCATCATGTTTTTAGGAAAGTCATTGTTTTGTTAGGGTATACGTAGGGCCAGGGGCGGACCCACGCGTGTTTGGGGGTATGACGGGACACCCCTAAATTTTGGAATTACGATTGTCCAATTCTCGGTGGTAAATCACGTATGGATAAAAAAATTATAATTAATAGTCGGTGACGCCTCTGTAATTTGAAAAAATGATTATCCTACTCTCATATTCTAGTTTGGGTATGAGAATATAAGTAGTTGATAAACCAATAATTACACATGTTTTTACCCTTATTCGTGAGCCGTTTGAGAGGTTGACTCTCGTGTTTTAAGCCGATTTCACGCGAGGTTGTGTGTTTATGTCATATTTCAGGACCCGGCGTTGGAATTGAGGCGAGGAAACGAGATTTGGGTCGAAAGGAGCGAAGTTGGGTTGAAGTGTGCTGGAGAGCAAAAATACCCGGCCATGAGCAGAAATACCCGACCGGGTATTATCTGGCCATGACCGGGGATTTACGGCTGGGGTGTCCGTGAGAAATAGAAGGGGTCCCGGGCTGGAGGCAAAAATCCCCGACCGGGGATTATTGGCCAAGACCGGGTATTTTTCCCTGAGTCAAAATGCGCGTTTCGATTATACCCGGTCGAGACCCAAAATACCCGACCGGGTATTTCGACCGGGTATCGCAACAGGCAGTGGTTTTAAAGGAAAAGAAGGCCAAAGATCGAGGGATTCGAGTTTTAGAGAGAGAGAGATCGATTCCTAGAGAGAGAAAGCGACGAGCAAGAGTTTCCAAGTGCCCTAGCTTGATCTTCATCACCATTGGAGCTTGGCTTGAGCTTGGAGAAGTGCCGATCAACGTCCAGGAGCAGGAATCCATCCTTCACAGTATGAATTCCGCGTCTGATTCTGCTTTTGCTTCTTTCTCCATGGAGTAGTTCTCACATTCATCTGGGTATGGAGAACCCTAGATTTGTATGTTAGGTCTGATTGTATGAACCCAAGTACTGATTCTATGATTTGATTATGTTCAATTGAGGTTTGAATGATTGAATGACATGAATCCTGATCAAATTCCTGTTGTTTCTGCTTTAACCTAGAATGAGAATATCTGCCTAGGTTGATAGAGCATCCTTGATTGAAGGTAGGGAGTTGGTGACTTTAGTCGAGGAGCCAACTCACTATTCTGTACCGAATTCACTTCGGTAGTGGAGGTTTTGTTCATAGGGCCTCAATCTGTTTACTCCGGTGGAGGTTAGTCGCCCGCTAGAGACTCAGATTGAGAGGGTCTGAAGACCTTTAGTCGAGACTTCAGGCTGTTTAAGAACCTTCCGCAGTATAATTTTCATGGAAACTGAACTTGGTAATTTGCAATCTGGCTTAACTGCAGTCTAGGGGGAACCATATCCGGGTGACCTCTCTTAACCTGAAAACAACCGTTTACTTGCTTTGTTTGTTTGTTAGTTTAGACTTGCATTAAAGTTTCATTGCTAGATAACAAGAATTCACCGAGTAGTCATCAAATCTAGGACCCGGGTTGACATTAAAACCCAAACCCGCTATACTACGCTTTAGGAAGTGGTTTCACTTGGCCAATTCCTAGAGTGACAGTAGAAGTGAGTCAAGTTTTTGGCGCCGTTGCCGGGGACGGGTAGGTTGTTGAAGAAAAGTGATTCTATTACTTTAGCATTTTCATTTTCGCATTGATTGTTTGTTCTTTCCCACTTGTGCCTTCACGGGTTTGCTTGCTTGAGTGTGTGCAGGTAGTGCATGACCCGTAGCCAGTCGGGAGGTTTACTGCCGTTGAATTCAGAGATTGAACGCACCTGTCGCCAACTCAAGAGACAACAGCGAGCTAGATTGGTTAAGGAAGAGCGCATAGATGGCCATTTGAGCAGCGAGTCCGAGGAAGAGCACGAGATGGAAGATTACAATCCACGCCAGGGGAATCCTCAGCAGGCTCCCCCGGTGAATCAGGTCCTGGGGAACAACCCCATACCCCAGGCAGGTGAGGTTCATCACCATCCACCGCCGCCGGGTCCCACCTTGGAGTACTACTACACTCCCCGGGTTGCTGACATCCGCCCTGTCATCCTCTATCCGCCCATTCCAGCGAACAATTTCGAGATCAAGCCATGCTGGATTCAACTCATTACATCCTCTGTCCAGTTCCATGGCTTGAAGGATGAGGAGGCAAGGGTGCACCTGTCCCGTTTCCTGCAGCTGACGAACGGGTTCAAGCTGAACGGTGTCCCGGATGATGCAATCCGCCTTCACCTCTTCCCCCATTCTCTGGCGGGGAATGCTAAGAGGTGCTTGGAGACCCAGCCCCCACTGTCCATCACCTCTTAGGACGATCTAGCTGATAAGTTCGTGCACAGGTACTATCCGGCATCGAAGACTACAGAGATCCAGCGGGAGATCACTCACTTCCGCCAAGAGCCAGATGAGTCACTTCGTGATGCATGGGAGCGGTACATGGGATTTTTCTGGCAGTGTCCCCATCATGGCTTCAGTGATGCATTCACCGTGGGGAACTTCTACAGTGCCCTCTCTCCGGAAAGCCAGAGGGTGATTGAGTCTCTATGTCCAGGAGGGGATATTCTTACTAAGACTCCACCTGAATTGAACCAGATGATTAGTACATTGGCTGCCAGAGATCATTCTTGGGGGCAGAGCAGCAGAGGCAGGAATTCCCGGGACCGTGGTGTGCACGCCATGGAGGCCAGGTCTGGGCTCGAGCAACAGGTGGCTGAGTTAGTGCAGACATTGAAGCAGCCCAACAGTCTTATACCGGGCAGAGGTCTGGGCGGACCTCCCGTAGCTCAATTTCAGTGGTGTGAGAGCTCGAATCATTTGGTGGAGGACTGCCAGGCTATGCGGGAGTCCTCTACACCCCAGGAGCAGTTGGCCTTCATCGCCAATGCGCGGCGCCTCGATCCATACAGTAGCACATACAATGAGGGGTGACGCCAGTATCCCAACTTCGCTTGGAGTAGTAACTCCACTAAACCACCTGGTTTCCCAGAGCCAGCAGGTGGTTTTCAGCAGAGGCAACCTTTCCAGGCCAGACAGGGGCCAGTTCCACCGCAACAGCCCTACTAGCCTAGGCAGGGGCAGCCATTCCAGCAGCTCCAGCGTCAGTATGCCGAGCCAGCAGTAGCTCCAGCTCCAGATAATCAGATGACGGAGCTGAAGAACATTTTAGCGGCATTCATGACTACCAGCCAGGCAAATTTTGCCAGGATAGACCAGAGCATCGCCTCGCTGGAGGCAGGTCAGAGGAACCAAGGTGCTATACTACAGGACCTCCAACATCAGATTGGAGGAATAGCCCGCCAGAACAACACCAGGGCACTGGGGACTCTACCTGCCACCACCATCCCCAACCCTCGCGAGCCGCACCAGCAGCTGGATGCCATCTTCACCAGGAGTGGCAGGCCCACATCGGCTGATCCT